GTATATTGGGCTCAGAGATTACACTGTGTCTCTATGTGAATATGGACAGTTAGCAGTTACCAACATGTATCTGTCTACTTTCTCTTGTTTAAAAAAAGGAAAAAAAAAACCTAAAAAGGGGGTTATAGGTGGTCAGCAAAGGGTGGGTTTGAGATGTTTGGGTGGGTTAAGTGGGCATTTTGACAACATGGCTTCTCCTTTGGCATGTTTAATTGTGATGTTTAATGGACATCCTTGCAGTTTAAGATGACACTTTTAAAATAAAATTCTCTCCTAATGAAAAAATAAAATAAAATTTAAAAAAATAAAAATAAGTATTTCCAGATTGTGTGTGTAGCCTTAGCTTGTTGCTAGGTGGGAAATGACAAAAACACATTGGCTAGCCTTCAGTCCACGCTCTCCCATGTGTCCATGAGCTAATGTGAAAAGGGGCAGGGACGGTACAAAGTAAGGCCTGTACCCTAAGAGCAGCCATAACGAACACATCATGAGCATCATGTTCACAGAAACAAAGTTTAAAATGGTTAATAGCATACTCGCTTGTTTTTCTTATCAAGTTATTCAGGTTGTACAACTTCTGAAATGACCATCCTTTCAAGTATTTAAAGCAGGATTCTTTTTCAGTTACAAAATAAGGTCTGCCCCCAGGAACACCAAGCTCATTGAAACCATTTCAGGTCTAGGCAGGAATCTGTCCCTACATCTTGGTGGGGAAAGGGAACCCTGGTGACGCCATAGGTTACTTGTTGAGCTGCTACCCACAAAGTCAGAAGTTTAAACCCACCAGCCGCTCCGTGAGAGAGAGAGTGGGCCATCTACTCTCTGACTTACAGCTCTGCAAATTCTGAATTGACTCAGTGGACATGGTTCAGTGGGTAAGGGGAAAAAAACCCCAAGTTTTATATGTACCAAATTTGTGTATTTCCAAAGATTTCGCTGAGTGAAACGTGATTGAGGCTGTTCTCTTCTGTGAAAGGACACAAGAACTTGATAGTAAGCCACCACTCTATAGTAAAGCATCATTAATAAGCAAACAGGGAGCCATGGTGGCAGTGTTGCACGCTGGACTGACCACAGGGTCAGCGGTTCAAACCCACCCTCTGCTTTGTGTGAGAAAGATGAGCCTTTCTGCACCTTTAAGGAGCTATAGCCTTAGAAACCCACAGAGGATGTTCTACTCTGTCCTATAGGGTGCTAAGTCAGAATCAACTCAATGGAAGTGAGTTTGATTCGAGTTTAAGTAAACAAATAAAAATCTCATTTCTTGGACCTCAATGGTAGTCTTAGAATGGGGTTACTAGAGAAGCAGATACATAGTAGTTTTGTGCATAGGCCAAAATAATTTTAAAAATGAATTTCTACTGCAGCTCACCCATTCAGTATATCAAGTGGCCACTGGCTCAATAGAGCTATATTCATAATTCATATTTTATAACTTGATACAGTACAAAAAGCTAATAGAAAAATTTATAGTTGAGCCCTGGGTTCCTAAGGCCAGTACTGCACATCATTCCTGGTAGAATGAGAATTCGGCCGTGGCCAGGTGGAACCTGATTTGCAGCACCGTCCCGCTGCGTGGGAGAAGTACCACCCTGCGCGGGGTCTGAGTTCGACTCCGTGATATTCCCTTTGTTCTGCCTAGGCAGCTAGACTGCTCACTGCACCACCGCCGCCACCATGCGCGCGCACATTCCACGTCAGCCTGATTGCCTTAAGAAGGGCTGTTGGATGATAAAGACAGGAAAGGTTACCATGGGCCGTGACCACTGTCCTTTGGCCATAGCTCAAAGATCTCTAAGGCCAGTGATGAGGCATTTGGCAAATGGAACTGACCATTTAAAAAAATGACTTCTTATGCATATTTTTTATAGGTATATAGGAAATGGGAGCAAAAACTAGCAGCCCAGAGAAAGGCAGAGGCTGGCTTAGAGCACACAGAGCGACAGCGCCTTGTCAGTGCCTGGAACTGCTGGACCTCCTGCCTAGCTTTTAAAGCCAGTGGGGAGAGAAGTGAATTCCAGACGCCCTGAAGAGGTTAGAGTTAACAATCAAAACTGCAGCTGATTTCATGCATCGGGCCCAAATGTTACTGCATATCCGTCATCCACATGCAGGTTCTTGTCATCTATCTTCAGTTAGAATGACGGTCTACTCAGCAGCTGAAGCCCCAGAACTGCTGATACTCGGCAGGTGAGAAGCCTTTGTTGGTCTCCTGGCTCTGAGCTGACTGATGATCACACGATACAGAGCCCTCCTGCCCAGACCAGCTTTGGCCTGCGTGCGGAGGAAGCTGCTCCACCAGCCGCTCCGCAGGCAGCAGCACTCCGTCCCCCCTGCGCCACCATCCACTCCCAAGTTCCTCTGAGAAACAGAGGGCGGGGCACCACCTTTCCATGCAGGGCTTCCGCCTCGGAAATGACTTACTCTAGCGCTACCGAAATAAACGCAGTCTGTGGACCCCAAAGAAGCAGTAAATAGAAAACCTCCTTCCCACCGCTTCAAATTCAAGTACTTTATGCCGCCACAGTCTTGACTGAAGGTTGCTACGGCAGAGTCTGCGTCCCACAGACGGAATGGGGACCCTCAGGCGTAGGCACCAATGACCTCGAAGGTCCAGCTGTCAGGGAAACCGTTACAATGGTTTATTCTCCGATTGCCAGCATTCCACCAAACTCAACCCATGACTTCCTGACGGTGGCTGATCCCTATATTCTGTCAGTGGGATAAAAAGCAGCGCTAAGAATGCTCCTTGGAAGCAAGGATGGTGAGATTCTGTCTCACAGACTGTGCACTTGGTAGCAGGAGACCCCAGTCCCTGGAGAAGGACAGTGAAAAAGAACAAGACCCTCAAGGAGATGGACCGACACTGTGCCTGCAACCATGGGCTCACACCGGAGCACACGGCTGAGGATGGCACAGGGTGGCAGGCAGGGTTTCGTGCAGCTGAACGCCAGTGTCCACACTGAGGGGGGCACGACTCGATGGCACCTAGTGCCATCATCATTCTGGGCTATTAAAGGAGTGAATGGGGCTGTACCTGGCTTTCTGAAAGGTCACTACATTTTAGAGAGAGGGGCATGGGCATGTTATGCCAAACTTTTCTTACACAGTTTCATCATTTGTCTGTTACATGTGGGTGTGCTATTTGATACAAATAGTCACTGTTCTCAGACAGCATTCCAGCAGCAAAGTCCAAATGTGTCACACTTGTCTGTCACACTTCCTTTTGCACTGTGCATGGGCCTGCAAGAGCTGGCACCAGGGGCTGGGTCAGTCTCCGTGGTGGGAGCGATGCTGGGCAGTGGCCAGACCCCCGTCTCTATCTCTGAGATGTGACCACCCACAGGGGCCCGACACTGCTTAGATAAAAGCAGAGGCACTTCTGACTGAGCGTCAGGGCGTCCCAGTGAGAGCTGACCCGTGGACACGGGGAAACGCCCAGGGACAGAGCCCTCAACCCTCTGGCCACACACAGCACTGAGGTCTCTAGGGCCCATGGGACCAAAAACAGGCAATTTGAGAATAACAGGAAAGGGTCCCAGAGGTCGCGATCTGCGCGTCAGAAAGGGAATCAAGAGGTCATTTTACAGCTGTTCTATTAGCAAGAATTGCCTGAATCAAATATTGGAACAATTAGGAAAATGCTATTTGAATCTTTTAAAGACTCAAAAGCCTAACCACCGCCAATGACTAGCTCAGCCCAGTCTATTCTTTGAGACTTCTCCAGGAGTCCTCGATCCCCAAATCTGTCTTTTCTTTGAACCGCCTGCTTGTACTGTAGCATCCCTACTGCTTTCGCGTCTCCCAAAGCAGCCCTTTGCGCTTCAGGAAGCGTCCTGGCACGTGTCACAGAGCACATTCTCCGGGTTCCCGGCCACTTCTCCAATGTCTGCCTCTTCAGCGCCGTCACCCCAGCTGGCTTGAGGCACGGGGCTCGCTTTGTTCTGTTCTTTCTGGACCGCCTTTAAGCACTTGTCAAGCCTCTTGATGAACAAGTCCACCTCCTGCGCCTGCATGCCGATGGCTGCCGCCGCGTTGAGGTAGGCACACGGGTAGTCGTCTGCATGGGACATGAAGCCTCTGAAAGTGTGGCCACTCACGGTTTGCACAGCCCCAAGAGGCACAACCCTGAAACGGAAAACAGCAACCAATTTAGATGGCTGTTTGGGCCCAGACCAGGCCATCCACACACCTACGAGCTCGAGGTTATTAAAGCTCCAGATCACCCTTCTTGTCAGCCTTGGAACACACTTCTACAGCGAACGCACCGCAGCCCTGCGCTTTGCTTATCTTCCACAACATGGAATGCTACCCATTCGCGCTAGGAATCGAACACCAGGACCTCTTCAAAGGACACGCCTTCCTTTCCCGGGCCAAATCTGGAGCCTGGCTTCACACAGGCACACCTCATGGAAGACTGGAATTTCTCAAACCACTTTCATTACTTGCTTTGTGTTCCCTCAAGCATCAACAAGCGATACTGAGTAAAACTCCAGCTCTTTGATCGGTGCTCTGCAGCAGAGGGCATTCAAGCCGGAGCCCAGGTGAACTTGTGTAACTGCGCACAGTGGGCTGGGGCCAGCGAACCGTGACCCTCAGCACACACCTCTTTGAAGCTTGATTTCCCTGACACACTTCGATACCAGCCCGGCATGTACAAAAGCAGCCCGTGGACGGACAGCTGAACACAGAAAGGGGTGGATGGATGGTGGAGCACGACACGCTCAGTTCCCACACCCTCCGGAAGTGTCGCAGCAATGCTGCGCGTGCAGACCAGGGCTGTCAGGGGAAAGCCGACTTGGTTTAAGATCCTTCTGTCAAACACAGGTCTTCTTGCTGTGACACCCTAACCGCTGGCAGTCAGAGGAGAAGGGCTTTGTTAGAAGCATGTAAAGAAGAGGATTTGGCTGTGGAGAACAAGGGGTTTCTTTTTGATTTGTCTCTGGTCTCCTCGAACGGAAAGAGAAATGCCTTTTCAAGCCATCTAATTTTAAGAGGAAAAGAGCATTTTCCAAAGGCAGAACTTTGGCAGAACGGTCTCACCTTTGAGTTTAGGAACACACTCTTAACTAATGACGGTCTGACTGGGATGTCCTCCCAATCGCGGCATGCTGCCACCACTGCAGACCTCAGTGCGGGTCACCTGGCAAAGCATGTCTGCAGAGAACTGATGCTGTCTCAGTCTGTCCATCAAGACAAGTCTGTGCAAAGCTCTGGAAACTGGGCCTAGAGACTCCGGACCGCAGTCTCAGAGGAAACCATGGTCTGTGGCATAACTTCTCCACTGCCTGCTTGGGTGAGCAGCAGTGGGGGCCTTAACAGCTCGTGAGCATTCACCCTGGATGCCACCACTGGCTTCTCCCCATGGGGGAAAGAAGTGATGAAAACGGAAGCACAGATGGAAACAGTCCAATGGACAGCGGGCTGTCCCAGCGCCAGTCTCCACAGCCCTGAGCCAGGTGAGCCAGATGGTGCCGGGGCCACCACGACCCGAAAAGGACCACAGAGGAAGGTCCTGGATAGACTGGAGGAAAATGTGGAACACAGGCTTCCTGGTCAGAGACACTGGTGGGAGGCCCAAATCTATGGCCCTCGGTTGCCCTTAAGTCTGGAACTGAACCCAACCCTGCTGCTAGAATAAGCAGTCCTGTAAGATCAGAGGTACAGCATGTAGCCTAGGGAAACATCCAGAAGGTTACGAGGAGGAGGAATGGAAACCGGATTTGCATGGAGAAAGCAGAATAGATGGTGGGACACTGAGGGATTATGACGGATGAGAAGAAGAAAATATGAGTTGTTGATTAAAAAATCTAATGATCTGCTCTGTCAACCTTCACTTAATTCACAATAAAAAGCTTAGCAAAGATTATCAATAAAGCCAGGCTGTGACTCACTCAAGTGTAGCCAGTCCCCCAGGGAGATTGTGTAGGGAAGAGGGTCCCCCTTACAGACTCTGCATCACGGTCATTACCCTGGGCTGAACCCCGAGGAGGGTTGGGCATACGCTTGGGGACGACTGTGGAGGGGTAGGCCCCGGATTAGAATTAACTTGGGAGGTCAGGTAAAACCATGTCTCTTTTAAACACACATACCTGGCTCCAGACACCTGTCTGGTAAAAAGCATTGAGCCAAGCTGAGTGACAGCTTTGTCCTGGTGTTCATCGAGGGTCTGAAGAGTCATGGCTGAAAAGAGAAGAGACGATGAATGAGCTTTGATTTACTGGCACAAACCACTCAAGGAAACCAAATCCAATGAAGACATTGCTATTAGTCATTGTCTGGTGCCAGAACTGCAGTGGGACATCAGTTGTGGCACAGATGCGTTTATGCAGTGGACAAAAGCACTGCTGTGGAAATTCACATGCTCAGATTCTACACGAACCGCTCCCTATCACCACTGCAGACAGCGCGGTGTCGACTCAATAGACGATATGGCGATGGCAAGACCAGGATGGCAGCTCATTCAAATTCAATCCAATTTGAAGAACTTGCAAATTTGAGAACTGGGCAACCATGATGAATGACTTGACCACTATTTTTTTTAACCACTATCAAACAGTATAGTTTATACTCAAATGCACACATACACAGCAGACAGTGTTTCAAGAAGTTTGTTTAAAAAATGGAATTAC